TATATTAAAATACCGGCGACCGACAATGTACACGTTAAATACAAATATGGAAAACAGAAGATTCAAATATGTCCCTGTATATACGAATAATTTTAACACTTCATTTTCAGGAAACCCTCAAAGGACCGACCAGTTGCCATCTTTTTGTGTATGACCGAGACGGAATTATGGACGACATGAAGTACACAGTAAAGGAAATGGTAAGCGAAACAACAAAGAGAAATAAATTCTTCCAGGGTTACAAGTCGAGTGAGTTTATTGGCATAAACATCTGGAATTTACGAAACTTTTTACCTCTCCGGGCAAATGATTACTGAAATTTTGGCATCGCAGCTGAAGTTGTAGATCTTGTTCGCAAATACGTACTTATTTTTTACCATACACTAAAACAGTGGTATTCAACCTGGGGTACGCGAAGACATCTTAGGGGGTACGTGAAATTTTTAAAAAAAATTATTTTTTGATAAACACTGAATAATCAGTAATGTAATTTATTTAATTTATTTTAGATGTAGATTATATACTATGTATAACTTGAATTATACACCAACAACTTTGGGGGGTACAAAGTTGAAGAGAAATTATATCTCGGGGTACGCGAACAAAAAAAGGTTGAATACCACTGTTCTAAAAAAAATTCAGTCACCGATTGATTTCAGACAAGACGGAATAGTGTACTTCACAGTATGTTTGAAAAATTTTGTTCACAATTTCTGATCCTTCATCTAACCTGGCAACTCGATAGTCTTTAGCCCTGAGCATGGAGGCAATATGGCCCACCGAAAAGTTGATATCTGCCTACAAGTTGCACGGCGTTGCAACTCGAAGACCAACATCGACCTCTGTGTATCTCGATCCTCAATAACAGATCTGTATTTGTAATGAAACCATTTATTCATCTGACATACTTCAAATCCTGATTTTCTATGTAAATAACTTGGATGTAATCGGTAGAGAGTGTTTTTTTTTTTTGTATTTCAGGAAGACGTATCACAAGTTATTGAATTAGTTGCTGATCCTGATGGAACGTGTGGGCCTGGAGAATTGGACTGCAATAATGTTGTGCTCACAATAAAAACAGAACTTGAATTCATTATCAAGCCAGTTCACTCCTTAATTCTTCAAGTAGAGGTACGAAGTATTATCACATAATGAAAAGGATAAATTATATTTTCCAATCATATGATTCAGTTCCATTAAATAAATGCTATAGAAATTGCAAATGTTGTTATTCGAGCAAGATTATATAATGCGACGAAACTTCATGTTAAAAGTTTCTGAACTCGCATTGCTCAAGACGTGTCCACGACAGACGAATCTGTGTGTACGTTTAAAGGAAACAACGATTTTAAATTCGATAAATCAACATCCGAACGTTAGGAAAATGAACTTTCTTCAAGATTTCGACAAATAAAGACTTAGCATTACGGATCTCATTTGATGAGCTGTTTGTACCTTCCAGGACGTATAGATTTAACACGACATTTTGTAATACGGAATACGGTTTTACGCCGAGGTGTAAAAGAATTATCACAGGAAATATTTACGGAGTAAGACACCACCGAGGAAATTTTCTGTGTTCAGTGGAGTTTGTAACCTGCGTATAATGACAGAATGAGAACAATTTTAGTTGTGATGGACGTGAGTTCAGTATATGTTCCGCATTATTAAATTGTCGTCCGTTCGCAGTAACAAAGATGAATGCAAATTAATATCAAACTAGTTTATCCACGCTCGGTCACTGATATAAAAATGGCTACAATTGCTCACTGCAAAGTTATATTCAAAATTTCACTAAGATTTATAAATTAATTTGTAGGGATTTCATTTATATAGTACAGAAAAATAAATGAATAATTTTTGATTTAAGGAGATTTTGAGAATTTCAATGTGCAATTTCGAGATTTTACTAAAGTACAGAACATAATTCCAAACGTGCCAACTGAACTATGTCCCCTGTCCAGCGTGAACCTCAACTCTCAGCTTTAGCGCCGTGGAAAGTCAGGCATAGTTTTATTTGTGAAATAAACAGCTCATGGAGATTTGATTGTCGATGTACTCAAGAAATGCCTTTCCTATGATTAATGAAGTTATTGACTAATTGTTCGTTTTGTATTTACCAGGATAAAGGGGGTAACGTCGGGACATTACCATACATCTTACAAGTAAAAGCAGAGAACAAGGAAATCCCTACGATTACACCAGCAAGTCTCACGGCAGAAATCGACGAGCAATATTCTGGAGTTATCGACTTCGACACGCCTATAACAGTTTCAGACAGAGACAGCGTAAGTACTGGAACCTTAATTTCCAGAAGTTTGTTCCGGTCAGCGTCTACGGAGACGCTGCGACAGCCTATCTTGAGGTCAGGATGACGGATCATTTGGCGCGATAAATGCCCTCAGCCGCTTTCAATAACGTACTTGGATGGACTCAACACTCCGACGTCAAATTTTTCTTCAGGTCTTAGAAATATTAAGTCCGCGAATCATGGGATTCTGTAACGATTTCGAGATGTTAATTGATTACTCACCGCCCACCCAGTTTTCTGCAATTACGTCGGGCACTGCCCATTGTCTGTGGTACGGCTGTGCTGATCAACTTTCTGTCTCAAAGTAAAGCGTCCCACTATACGCCATGTAGGCGCTTGGGGGGGAGAGGAGGTATAGCTCCTACTAATTCTTAACCTCGTCACTAGATGGGGGTGAGTGGTCAGCATCACGCCCCGGCCGGCTTTACCCCCGGGAAAGGATCCCGGTACCCATTGGATAGGAGGCTCGGTGGGCCCCAGAACCGATCTGGACGCAGACGCTAGAGGAAAAATCCTCTGCCCCCGTCGGGGATCGAACCCAGTAGCCAGTCACTATACTGACTGAGTAACCCCAGCTTACGATTCAAGCTGGAAGCCTGTAAATATTAACACGCTAACCAACATGGAACAAATGTTAACTGGAACGCACCTCACACAAAGGACGGGCTAATGTTGGACTTTCAGTCCGGAATAAAGATTCATTCGCCATTCTGAAGAAAAAAAATCCATATGTATTCAACAGGTACACACCTGGAGCCCACACAATGACCCAGGTAATCCTGGCCGATATTTTCAGTTCATTTCCATAAATTTATGTTTATTTATAGTTTACATAACGACTCTGTCAGTTGCCATGACCGTAGAGCGCCTTATTCATGCCCACTTTACCGTTAATGAATCAGTTACGTGATAATTAATTAAATATTTACTGACTGTATTTTTCTCGATGATTCATCTTCCATGCAACGCCTTCCTAAGTAATGACTGTTGATTCTTCAGAACCTCATGATCTAGCGATATATGTTTTCAAATGTGCGTGCGTGTAAGAATGAAAATACAAGCGAAATAATTGCGCGTTTTCAGGTGGAATATGGACAGTTCGTCATTACACTGGTGGGTGATGAATCGAATGACTGTCACAAGGCTTTCGATGTAATTCCAAATGCCGGCTACAGGACGACCATTGTGAAAATCTCTGTGGTCGACCCAGCGAGGCTGAACTATGACGAAGGCACCTGTAATGACGTCATTTTGAAGGTAACAGTACCATGTCACTGCTTCGTCAATTTTATTCAGAGATTATTCTGAGGACTTCTCCTAGAACCACGAGTTTTGAATCAGTTGCCATTTTTATCACATCCAATGTGTCATTAAACACTCGGTTAAAATTAAGTAACTTCAACAGCAAATATATCAAATCGTGTGTTATATTAAATCTTGCTTTAGAATTCATCAGACACGCAGTCTGTCTGTCTGTCTAACCTCAAAAACAGGGAGCGAGCAGATGAGATTTGGTTCAGTTGGTGCAGGAGGGAGATTTGGATGCACGAATAGGACACGCGTCTGAGGTGTTGACAGAGTCGACTGCACTGGACACGATTTCTCGTGTTTTGGTGATGCGTCTGGGAAGCAACATGGATAAATTTGAGATACTAATCGGACATTTGCCTGCATGAACTGAGGAAGAATGCGAAAGAGCTCAGGATAATCGGTGTTCGAGCCTGCTTCAGAATAGGGTAGCTTCCGATCAGAAAGTAGGAATACCAACTACTAGGACTCGACGTTCAGTCATACACAGTTTACGATTACTTCTTTGTAACGACAAATCTCTTACAGTTTACGTATAGCGGAAAACTAAATGAATTACGTACTGTAACTGAGTAAATGATCTACCATGACTGACCCTAAGACATCAGAAGACTATCAGTTTTCTAAGATAGCAGTATTTTACCGAAACTGCCAAGCCTCTGTGTACGTTCAGATACTCGCGAGACAGACGTGTTCAGACGATTTAACATAACACAGCTTAATGGTTCATAACTAGGGCCACACAGTGCAATGAGAATTGTTTAATGGTTTCAATGAAGTCTGTTCCCTTGGATTCCCAAAAAGGGAAACAAAAATATCAAACACTCGTTGCGTATAACAAGATTATACCATTTTATTTCCAGATTAAGGCATCGGAGTTATACGATGACACGCGAATTGGAGAAGCCCGAGTCAACATAAAATTGAGAGACGTCAACGATGAATCTCCAATATTTGAAAGCCAGGATTTCTTCTTTAGAGTTGATGAACACGCAGAACCAGGATCTTATCTAGGAACTGTGAAAGCTAAGGACCTGGACATCTTTGACGTTATACAGTAAGGGAAACTGAGTTAATCTGTTACTACTGTGGCCTAAAAATGATGAGTTACCTCAGTGGTATCTACACCATTACAGCCATGCAGATGGACACACAAATATCACGATTTCACGACTGCATTCTAAACTGAACACACTGGCTATGCGCATTCGATGAGAAGTACAACAACAACAGGCAACTGCATTGTAAAGCCGAAAAGATATCCTTGTTTTTCTACGTACTCAATTAGACTTACAGCATATCTGGTTCCTAAGTTTACTGATCCCATCAAAATGAAGTGATCTCGGCTGGGTCTCACATCAACTCTGCACCACTATTTGGACGGTATTTCGAACTCAGAATATTCTAAAATTCAATTACTAAGGTCCCGCGCACTCCTGGGTTCTAACTGGGCTCTACTTTCTTACAGTCAGTCCAAAAGACTCGAACCAAATAAATGTTATCACAGTGACTTCCCTTTCACTGATAGCACAAATGCCTGCTCTGATAACGTCTGCGATGTCTATCAGTATATTTTTCCGTGGATGGCGACTGCACGCACATCTTAATAATCTACCTTGTCGCATTACGTTTCAATGATTCATTAACTTTTATATCCGTAAACTCATTCAGGCACTTAAAATAACAAATAGTTTATAAAATGACTATTCTTAATCTTGTCCAAACATATAACCCGCATTCATAGAAACTGATATAAATACGAGGTGCGATCGGAAAGTTTCAAGACTGCGCCTATAAAAACCCGTACACTTATCTCAGGTATTAAATTCATCCATCACCCTCGAAGTAGTTCCCCTGGGAG